TCTAGAGAAGCTGTTATGTAAATTAGCATGCTTTTTCTCTATTTGCTGGGCGCCTGACTCACCGAGACAGCTACTCGGCATTCTTAATGCTTCCGCATCTACGACCATCTGCTCGAATATGGGTAACTCGATGAGAACAGGTTTACTGGGCCGGGTTCCGGGTCGGTATAGACCAATTACTTTATCAAGTAGGTTGATGATCATTAGAAGAAGGCGGAAAGGGGGCGCTTGTGCACGGATGCAATCATCTATGTCCCAGCCGACGTCTCGTTCATGTATTAAACAAGCACGGCCGTAGAATGCGCTTGTAATGCGATCGAGAGCCCATAGACAGCAGAAAATTGTCCGAATCATGTCTCTCTTAGGATGCCCGTCGTCCACTGCCATCTGAAGTCCAAGTGTGTGCATTTGATGAACAGCCCGACAGTTCAAGAGGGCTGGGATGTCAGCTTCTTCGGCATTCGTGGGTTGTGTGTATAGCGACAAAGCCGCCGACAAACGAGTGAGCCAAACTCGATCTGTCACGATTCCAGCTTCCAGTGTTGTCAACACTGAATTGGACAGGGAGGCGCAGAACTCCTGGCGGGAGAGGAGAGGACTATTAGGATTAGGCGTGACACGTAAGTGCTGAACGGCTTCCGGATCGGCAGCGGCCGCAAGGCTGATCACTTGCTGAACTAGGATATCCGTTGGTTCATCCGGGGCACTGGACACTGAAGGATCTTCGAAGATTGGGAATATAGGGTTCATCTTCTCAAAGTATATGCGTCTCAATACCGCATAGTCGGATGCCGGGGCACGGCACGGGAGGCAATGATTCCACAAATACGACCTTAACATGTCTTGCACCGCCCGTCGCGACGATGCCTGCACATTTGGGACGCTTGAGCTCTGCGTCCTCGCGAGAGGGACAATGGGCTGCCAAATACCGAGGCCACCGGGCGCGGAGACATCACGCTTAGAGCATAGACTAGTGGCCTCCATCAGGATTGCCTCTGGGTTTAAATCACCATAGTACGTTGAAGGATGGGCCTCTCCGCGCTTCTCGGCCTCCCCATTCTGCACAGCGGGTGAAGCTGAAACTGAAGCTGGAGCTGGCCGTGTGTCGCCGGTTGAAATATTCGGGGTTGATGCCTGCGTCTTACTGCTCCGACTGCCCGGTGAGGGCTGTGACAGTCGCGACGACTTCTCGGCGGCTGAAGTCTTGTCGGGCGATCGAGCAGCAGCAGCAGCAGCAGCAGGCGAATCGCCGTGGACCTTTGGGTCTGTGTGGACGCATCGCTTCTTGCGACGACGGCACTTTTCGCAGGCATGCGCGACTTGTTTTCGCTTGAGCGGCAAGCCGGTCGTGTCTGATTCCACGAACTTGACCATGGCGACTGAATTATATCCTAATAGTAGACTGGAATAGAGCGGCGATGGCCTAATTCGTCATCTCCGCTTTGCCGTCTCTCCGTGTCCAGGTGAGACGGATCGGGTAGGTATATTCATTTTACATACAAGAGAATCGAGAGCACCGTCTGCTGCAGAATACCAGATAGACACAATGCTCATGAATGACCATCCAACCTTATCTATCCACTCCGTTCTATCGAGGGCCCGTTTCCAGCACAAACTCCGCCTCGGCGGTATTGCCGAAAGAGGCTAGTCCGCTCGCTCGCTTTCCCTCGTATAGGTAGCATATGAAATCGTGACGGCGCAGTGAGCTATCAAGAAAGCCACTGTCAGCAACCCTGTATTCCAGGTACCTTCAAGGCATGGACAATCGTTGTTGCGCAAAGGTCTCTAAAGGCACCTTGGTGGGTCTATTCTACCTAAACAGAATGCTGTTTGTAATGCAGTTTCGAGTGTGTCTTATAATCGCTAATACTGGTAGCAGACCTCTTATAATGGTCTTCCGAAGATAATTATCTTGTACTTCTTTGTCAGCCTGGACCAGGATAAGACGCCTTTTTCGTCTTGGTATGGTGTCCTGCTGTGTTCCGTCACTAGTTGTACCTGTCAGACTGTGTCCGTCATCACTCCGCGTGCAACTAGGACTATGTCGGTCGTCATCATTCCGACGCAGAGATGCCGCCCTCCATCACAGAGGCCATTCCGACATATCTGTATGTGTATATATAACTACATAAGCTGTGTCGGTAGATGCAATAGAAATCGCAGAGGACTCAATGAAAATGCATTTACTAGTAAAATCTGTTTTAAGGCCCGTACCCGCTACTCTCTCATTGTCCAACTTGAGATCCAGGTCGGCACGACAGATGACTGCCATGGCTTCTAACCATAATCAGGTGAAAAGGGAAGGCGATATTTCCGATGCCTTTGCCTCGTTATCCGGCGGAAATGCACAACCGCTGCCAGAACGCTTCCTCGATCTAAAGAAATCGTTAGTGGCTGGCCACGAAGACCGGGTCGTTGCAAGCTGGCAGAGACTCCTTACTCAGCTCAAAAAAGAAAACAGCATCCTTGCAAGAGAGGGGTCGAAAGTCATACCAAGCCTAGAATTTGCAAATCTTGAGGAGGACTTCACAAGATTGCGCTCAGAGATTGAGAAGAGAGGTGTTGCCGTCGTCAGGGGCGTGATACCGGAGAAGGAGGCTCGCCAATACAAGAACGACATTGAAGAATATGTCAAACAGAATCCCTCCACAAAAGGCAAGTTCCACCACCCACAGCCTTTCTTTAAGTCAACCCTCTAACTCTAGGAGTAGCATTCCCACAGGACAACCCTCAAGTGTTCGAGCTATACTGGTCGAGCGCCCAGATTCGCGCACGTGCACACCCGAACCTTTTAAAGGTGCAATCAAAGCTCATGAACGTTTGGCAGCTGTCCAACTCTGAGGGCCCCATCTCGCTATCGCAGACTCTCTCCTATGCAGACCGTCTACGAATCAGACAACCCGGCGATACAAAATTTGCTCTAGGCCCCCATGTTGATGGAGGTAGCGTCGAGCGGTGGGAGAAGAACGGTTACGGGCTTAGTGGCGTTTATGACAAGGTCTTCGAAGGGTCGTGGGAGGAGTATGACCCGTGGGATGCCAGCAGGAGAGCCGGCGCCAATATGGACAACTACAACGGACTTGGAGCGGCTTCGATGTTCCGCATGTTCCAAGGGTGGTTGAGCATGAGCCATACGAAAGGCTTTGAGGGCACACTGCTGGTGAACCCCCTGCTTCGACTGTCATCTGCATATTTACTTCTCCGCCCATTCTTCAAGCCCGTGAAGGAGTCGAAAGATGTGTCCCCCGAAGAATATCTGGCGGCAGACAACTGGGTATTCGCTGGCTCGGACATGACCAGCGAGTTACACGGAGCAGTAATGGGCAAGGGGCAGGAGCTGACTACAGACCTCCACCCACACCTTGAGCTTGACACTAGCATGATACACATGCCTGAAGTCAAGCCAGGTGATTTCGTCGTATGGCACTGCGACAGTAAGTTCCCATCTTCCCCATTTCCAACCTCTACAAATCTAACATGTGTCCCCACAGCCATCCACGCCGTCGACAAGATCCACAACGGAAAGTCGGACGCGAGCGTCCTTTACATCCCGGTATGTCCCGTCACCGAGCGGAACGCCCAATACCTCTCGCGCCAGAGGAAAGCGTTCTTGGACGGCACCCCGGCTCCGGATTTCCCGGGCGGACAAGGCGAGTCGCAGCACGTGAACAGGCCTACGGAGTTCTATCTTTGGACGCATGCCGACGAGGAAGGCTTACGGGCTTTCGGCTTTGAGAAGATTGCCACGGCCGAGTCGGATGGTCCAGGTGCGAAGGAGGTCATACGGAAAGCAAACGAGATCTTAGGGTTCTAGCGGGCGCGCACACGATTTGTACTCCCGTTCATTATCGGGAAGAGGGACGAAGGGGGGTTGTAAGAACACGGGAATGAATAATTACTGAAATGGTGTGGATGATATCAGGCCAATAGGAATATGATATGTGGCCACCACGGGTATGAAGGGATGAAGAAGCGTAGGAGTACTGGTTACTCATCTTGCTACACGCACTCTTTAGTTATATTCTTTCAATTTCCAAACAACTCCATTAGTTCTATTTTGTATACTGGTTAGGGGTGTATAGTTGTCCTATCTCCATGTATTGGTATTCCGCGACTCACTAAGCTCTAGACAGCTCCAAGACACCTGAGGGTCACAGATGAATTGAGTATCGTAAAACAAGTCTGACTCGAGTGTTTCATTCAATACATTAATTCTAAATCCGATAGAAAAAGGTTACGCAAATGTAGTGGATCATGTATCTGTACCGTCAGTACTCGGACAGTATTAACGGCGTCATTTATACTAGGAGTTGGCGCTCTGGGCATGATTTCATACCAGTCATTTCTATTAACCAATGTGTATAATTCATTTGTCATTAACAGCAACCTCCTGGTAATCGACTCTTGGGGTCTTTGCGTAATCATAGCTTATTCGCGATAATACGGCCTACTACAGTGGCTTGGAATAAAGAAATTCTGACTGACTGACACCACAGTTTATATTACCCAGTGGTACCAGTGTGTCAAGTCTAGAATTATGTGTGATAACCTCGTAGCATGAACTTGTTATGGTAAAGGAAGTATGCGTACTGTGCATACAAGTGGAAACTGGTCAATATTCCAGGCAGGAGTCTCAAAATCCAGGCGCAATAATAGTAGTTTTACTTACGTACTACACCTATGGCTAGTTAGTCATAGAAATAATAGTGCATGGTGTTCTCCAAATCCCAAGATGCCCTTCTGGCAAAAGCTTGTTCTCTCCCTGTGGTTACTGGGTGTTGCAGCTGCTACTAATAAAGGTTAGTTCATCTTGTTTGCTCCAACCGATTTGTCTATGCAGCAACATATCTATGGCCAGTCCTTATTAAGTAGGCCCTCTCTGTTCCGTGAGGTTAACAAGCAAGCAAGGAGTACAAAGTTTAGTATTAAATACAAAAAGGAAAAGAATATACATAATAGTTGACCGATTAGGAAAGTTTGGCAAAACTAAAGCCATCTCTCTCTCGATCGGGGAATCGAACCCCGGCCACCTGCGAATTGCTTCTGTAGTGACAGAACCCACCAAGTAGACGGGCCGAATCACAGAGTGACAAGCAGGTATCCTAACCACTAGACCAATCGAGAGTATGACTAAGCTACCCTAATCGGGATCTACTTACCTACCATGGTCGTCTTAGAGAAGACAGAACAGAGATGTGCAAGACTTTCTTCTGAACAGCCACAGCACACATTGTAGTAATTAATAACGTAAGAATCATACATATTAACGCGGGGTGATTACGTTCTAGGTTCATCTAAGGGGCGTCCCCTACATGTGAAAACTACATATACATATCTTCTTACATGTGACTGTTATCCAATGGTCCATATGTATCCCCTTAAGTCGCAGATAATTCAAGATTTCAAAAGAAGAAATGGTGGCATACCTCGGTGTCCCCATGATACAGGTATGTCCGACGAATTATCCTACCTAACAGCTTAATACAAAATTCGGAGCACAAATATGCGAAGCTACGTGGACGAGTCCTTATATTTCTACCCAGTGCTACTAGGAGTTAGAATCTTTGCAGCATGACTAATCACATATGCGTGGCATTTATATCTTGCATCCTTGGTCTATCGGCACTCATCCATTGTTTCAACTCTGTAGCGAACGAGTTCAGTGGCTGATCGGTGGGTCGGCAAAAAGGCCGACGAGAAACACGGGGCGGGCCGATGGAGAAAGAGACACATGTAAATCAACCCAGACTGGTAAGATTAGCAACGGTCGTCTACGTAGGCGGCCATTCTGCAGCCCGCGGGACGCGTGCGACCAGGCCTTCGCGCGAGAGACGGTGTCTTAGGGGCTATGGTACTTCTCATACACATGAGGAGTGCGAATGACGTCGGAGTTGTTACGTTACCGAAGTGGCTCATGATACATTCCTCTTCTGGTTCGTGGGGCGTCGAGCGATGAGGTGTGATATGCTAGGTGTGATACGTGACAACTGGACGTGTTGAAACGCTATGTCGAACAAGCTTCACCGAACTGGCCTCAGCCGCAACCAACATGCCGAAGGAAAGCCGGGAAAAGATACGATGAGGTGGCGGAGAGAGAGGAGAGGTAAAACACCCTCGTCTCGGGGCGTCGCACAGTGTATCCCGATAATACGAGACTGGACGAGACGAGACGCTGACGCGATGGCGGATGTGCGATATCTCTGTCGATCGAAGAGAAGACGTGAACCCTGGGTCTGGGTGTATATGGCCCGTCGGGATCCCTACTTGGCTACCTGGCTTTGTTGTCATACTTACTTACCTGGTACTTAAAAAAACAGGCTTATCCTTATTGCGCGCGGGTGGCCAATCAATCAGCCGGACAGGCTATGGCGGCACGGCACGGATTATGTATAGGACCTAGAAATGAGATAGGCGGATGAGGCAAGCCTGATTCCCAGGGGGATTTGTTGAATGAGGCGAACGGTTTGTCTGCTGTCTTTCGTTTTCTTTTATTTGGAGCACACATCTGCCTACTTTTGACAGCATGTCATACAACCTTGACCCCCACCATCAACAACCTCGCATGCCAGATCACGTCGCATCAGATCAGGCACCAGCTGCCTAATGTTGGTCGGATATAAGCAGCGCTGGCAGCACTCTATATCTCAGCTAGACATTATCATTGGTATCTAGTGTGGTAATGCATTGGAAATGCACATGGAGTGATATTGTCTCGAGACAGATCTGTTTTTCAGATGAACGGAGGGGATCGTCCATGATTCGCCGCAATGAGTCCACTCCAAGAGGGGATCCCCTCGGTTGGTCTTCATATAATTTATGAGCCAGAAAAGAGCGACAGCACGCTTGTTGAGTAAGTTCATCCCCTTTTTATTCCGGCACATTATAAGAGAGGCATAAACTCATGATCCCTTATCAGCGTTGTCTTCGTCCATGGTTTAGGAGGACATCCGATACGAAGCTGGCAGCACGACGATAGCATAGTATCTATTGCTCGGACGAAGACAGAACCGCTCTCGCGTGATGGATCTTTGAAGCTTCAACCTAAAAGAACGAGATCTTCGGATAAGAAATATCGATCGACTACTTTTCCGCGGGATAATACGCGGCAGCCTGAGTCGAATGCGTCTCCTCTGCTCTTCTGGCCGCAGGACTTACTGCCCGTGGCTTGCCCGGAGGCGAGAGTCATCACTTGGGGGTATCATACTCTTCGCAGTGGTGACGTGCCGGTTATTGCCCAGCCCGATCTCTTTTCTCATGCAAAGGACCTCCTTCGGGAGCTTGGCGATCTTCGAGATAGTACCGATGTACAACAGAGGCCCCTGGTTTTCATCGCGCATTCCCTTGGTGGAATTATCGTCAAGGAGGTGGGTTTATCGGCACGAGACTATAATAGCGGAAATGCTTACGGTTACCGTAGGTGCTGCGCCAGGCTGATTTCAGCAATACAAGAAACGAAGAGGAAATCCTGAGCTCTACCGCCGCGGCCATATTCTTCGGTTGTCCGCACAGGGCTGTAGAGCAAGAGCCACTGGTTGACACGGTAGTATCGATGGCAGAGGCATCCTTTAGCGGTAAGACGGAGAGCTCGGTATTCTCTTCTCTATGTGGCGTAAACAATCCTAGATGGGGCGAAGCACAGGATTCATTTGTTCGCTTGTGGTACCATTTCAATTTTGTGGTCAAGACGTATCAGGAAAAACAGAGTGGCACAGATAAAGCGATCGTGGGTCACGCCCTGTTTCAAATATACGGATAGAAACAAGCTTACGTATCTCTTCTACCTAGAACGGTCGTACCGAGGCGAGTAAGCTTGGGGACATGAGAGAAGACGCAGAGAGCCTACCTGCGCACCACCACACTATGTGTGTTTTCAAGTCGGCGAGCGATGCGGGTTTCAAATCATTGTCAAAGATACTCCAAGATATCGTGAGGGATGAAAAGCTCAAGGTAGTACTTCGTTTTCGAATCTCCATTGGTACTTATGGCTAATGGATAATGGTAGCGTCGAGGGCTCAGCACGGAAGAGATAAGTGCGTAATCGCGGCGTTCCTATTTCTTACACGTAAGCTAACTTGTAGGCTAGGCAGCTTACGACGACTTATAAGTCACCGAGTCAGAGGCAGAGGCTCCCGGTCAACTATGAAAGAGAGCTCCTTAGGTACATGCAGGCGAATATGTAGAACAAAGGAGTTCTGCCACTGGTATCGTCGCCAGGATAGTAGCAATGAGCACATATTATGGCTGACGGGTGCTCCAGGTTCCGGCAAGTCGACTCAGTTACAGAATATTTGGTGCCAAATGAAAAATCAATGGAAACCTGCTGCAGCCGCAATTATATATTGTACTGCAGAAGGCCAGAGTCTCGACGGAACTTTTGTGTCGGGGCCAAAGCTGGGCAGCTTGCGATCGATCACGACGATCCGTTCCATAGTCTCCCAGCTCTTCGAGCATGACCCGAATCTTCGCGAAAAACTTTCCAGTGCGTGCGAGGGTGACATAAATGATACAGATTTGACTCGATTCTTTCTTGATGACTACATCACGGGAAAGCCCCGGACGTTAGCTAGAAGAACGTTTATATTAATCGATGCAGAAGATAGTTGCGACGACGAGTACATCCGGGAACTCCTGTACTGCCTAGGTCAAATCGGACGGAGCTCGAATTTTAGTGTGTGTCTAGCCAGTCGACCAGTTAGCGAACCAGTTCCAACCAATATAACTAAGTTACAACTCGAAGATCATAACCTCGAAGATATTAAATTGTTAGTACAGTCCCGTCTGAGGGCTAGTGGGGATGAACGGCCGGGTACTGTGAAAAATATTGTCGAGAAGGCTGGTAATAGTTTCTTATGGGCACAGCTTGCGACGAACCTTTTAAACAAAGTTATTGATGATGGCGGGACGCAGGATCTCGTGGACCAGGTACTGGGGGAACTTCCAACAAATCTATACGGGCTATATGAACAGATGTTGGGGGCCCTCTCATGCAAAGAAAAAGCGGATGCTACGACAATCATGCGATGGGTTATGTTGTCACCGGAACCTATGATGCTCAATGACCTGCGAATGGCAGTTCGCTTAGGCCGCACGAATTTCCTGCTCTGCTGCGACCCGCAAAGCGCATTGGATGTTGGATTGCCTTGGTCGATGCAGGAGCTGCAGAAGACGGGAAAGCAATTCGATACGCCGTCCCAGTTTTACCAGTGGCTTTGCTCCCAGACATGCGGCCTCCTGGAGGCGAGGTCGTCGGATGCGGGGGGTCAAGCGCAGCAGTCGCTCGGACTTCAGCATGTTTATCCCATCAATGACTCTGTCAAATCGTTCTTCTTGTCTGGCAGGGGCTTCGCTGTGCTCTCTTCGGGACGAGTGACAACCACGCCTCCGGATCATAAGGCAGTCGACCTCTGCCACTATAGCCTTCTCCGTACCATCTTAGTATACCTGAATACGTCGGATCTGTCGCCCCTGGTGAGCGGGAATCATTCCCCGGAACCGAAGCAGAGCGTCTTATCACTGGAGACATCACCCACGTGGCGAAGAACTGTCGTGGACCAACGCAATCTCATCACTTCATCATACCCATTCTTGGGTTATGCAGTAGATAACCTGTTGTATCACCTACTGTCCCCAAGGCCCCTACGGTATTTTCTCCCCCAGCAGGCCATATTCAACATGTTCGCGTGCGACGACTGCCGCATCTGGCGGCGTTGGACGGCGCTGCTCGGCGAGACAGATGCTTCGGCGGTTCTGGCAAAATGTAGATCTGCTGAAGCACTGCTGCAGCCTGAGTTCGGAGCATCCTTCCGACTGGAGAGGGTGTTTCGCGCGGTGAACAAGATGGCGACTGGCGACAGTTGGTTCTCGCCTCGTAAAGGCCCAGTGTTTTCACTGCCTCGTGCACCTCGGAAATTGGAGGATGAGGCTGCTCGGCAGAAATCCAATTCGGCTCCAAGTCTTCCCTCCCTGCCCTTATCACGCGCGGCTCAGCGAGGGCCACGATCCAGAGGCACAGTAGTTGTGTCTAGGACAAGGTAGACTTTTAATAGTAATAAAATAGCCGAAGTGTGTATAACTAGATAAATAGATGTGGTTTATTCGCGTATATAAAATTACGGTATAGTGTC